GCAGTGGTTCTCAACCTTCTGGCCCTTTAAATACAGTTCCTCATGTTGTGACCCAACCATAAAATTATTTTCGTTGCTACTTCATAACTGTAATGTTGCTACTGTTATGAATTGTAATGTAAATATCTGATATGCAGGATGGTCTTAGGCAACCCCTGTGAAAGGGTCATTCGACCGTCAAAGGAGTAGTGACCCACAGGTTGAGAACCGCTGTCCTAGGGGGTTTGACTGAGGAACCAATTCCTAAATAAGAAGGTGTTGCAGGTCTTCTCTGGCCTTGTTCTCACAGAACCAGCTGACCATTGGAGCTATACCAACACACATATATACACACATATATTATATTACATATCCATGCAAACATATTTGTCCATTTGTCTAGTAAACATAAATCCAGTTGGATATCCTATCTAATAAAAGACTAAAAGGGTAATTAACCATACCTCCGCTACGCTTCCCATTGGCTAATCAGGGCGATATGCAAATTAACTGCCAACAAAGATGGCGGCCGACAGCCACGCAGCTGAAGCAAACATGAGGCTTGCTTGCTCCAGTGAAGGAGGAAGCCAAGGTTCCCCGTCTGCCGCGGCCTGGCTCTGAGTTCCGGAAGCAACGTTTCAACTATAGAAGCTAAACAAACCCCAGATACCTGCTTTCAGCCAGCCGTGGCCACGGAGCTGGGAGTGCCAGTGACAGCAACAATGTTTCAATTATAGAAGGTAAATAAATCTCAGAAAAGAAAAGAAGGAGAGGCTGGGAGCTTCAGTCCCGGCCAGCCTGAAAACGGCCCTCAGCCCCTCACCCAGACTGGCCAGGCACCCCAGTGTGAACCCCCACCCTAAAGGGGGTGTGACCAGCCTGAAAACAGCCATCAGGCCCCTCATCCAGGCTGGCCAAGCACCCCAGTGGGGACCCCCACCCTGAAGGGAGTGTGACCAGCTGCAAATAGCCATCAGCAGCTCACCCAGGCTGGCCAGGCACCCAAGCGGGACCCCCACCCTGTTCCGGGACACCCTTCAGGGCAAACCAGCTGGCCCCCACCTGTGCACCAGGCCTCTATCCTATATAGTAAAAGGGTAATATGCAAACTGACCCTAACAGCAGAAAGACTGGGAATGACTGGTCACTATGACACACACTGACCACCAAGGGGCAGACGCTCAGTGCAGGAGCTGCCCTCTGGTGGTCAGTGCGCTCCCACATGGGGGAGCTCTGTTCAGCCACAAGCCAGGCTGATGGCTGCCAGTACAGCGGTGGTGGTAGGAGCCTCTCCTGCCTCCTCAGCAGCACTAAGGATGTCTGACCACAACTTAGGTCTGCTCCCCGCTGGCAAGTGGACATCCCCCAAGGGCTGCCGGGCTGCCAGAGGGATGTCTGATTGCCATCTTAGTCCCAATCCCCCAGGGAGCAGGCCTAAGCCAGCAGGTGGTCATCCCCCGAGGGGTCCCAGACTGCAAGAGGGCACAGGCCGGGCTGAGGGGACCCCACCCCCCTACCGAGTGCACAAATTTTTGTGCACCGGGCCTCTAGTTTATATATATATGCAAATTGTCCCCTCGGGAGTTCTACTGGGAGACTGGGAGTTTGATCACTCTCTATGATGTGCACTGACCACCAGGGGGCAGCGCAGAAGGAAGGAAGGCCCTGGCTGGCAGTCAGCAGCTGGGGAAGGGAGGCCCTGGCCCGCAGCCAGAAGACCCCGATCGGCCCTGATCGCCAGCCATGCCTAGGGATCCTACCTGTGAATGAATTTTGTGCACCGGGCCTCTAGTATATAGATAAATAGACATCAGACCCTTGAACAATGTGGGGGTTGGAAGTGCCAATCCTCTGGGCAGTTGGAAATCCATATAAGTTAAGTTGGCTCTCCACTTACACAGATCCCACCAACCAGGGATAGAAAATACAGCTGACTCTTGAACAACGTGGGTTTGAACTGCTCAGACCCATTTATACACATAGAAACATATTCAGATTATTTCGTGTTAACAAAAAGAAAAGCATTTCTGGGTGAAAAAAGGTGCTTGGATGTTTGACTAAATGACCTTGGAAGTCCTCCTAACCTAGACATTCTAAATGTTTACATTGGTAATATGTGAACTAAAAGGGGAAGAACTTGCCTTTTTCACAGGAGTAGTTGGTGAGAGATGTATGGTTGCCATTAGGAAACTGCTGTTGGTTTGTTTTTAGGAGGCAGATGAGATATGGAGCACACTCTGAAATACACTGTCAAGTGAAAAATGTAGGCAAATGCAGAATAATGTGCTACCGTTTTGTAAGTGAAAATTGTGTGTATGCATGCGCACTTGCATATGCCTAGAACTCTCTGGAAGGACCCACAAGAAACCATGACTGGTGGCCTCTGTGTGGCGGGAGGCCAGAAGTGATGGCGCAGGGGGATAGAGGCAAACCTCTTTTTAGTGCATATCCTTTTGTGCCCTTTGAATTTGGTGCTTTGTCATAAACTACCCTAAATAAAAGTTAATTAACAAAATAAACGGAGAGGAGCTTTCAGCTGACCTTCATCTTTATATTATCTTCCCTGCTTGATTGTTTTTTCTTTATCATATTTTAAAATCTAGTTCTCCTTCCTTGAGCATCTGCAGAGAACAGGAAAATCAATTTGCCCGTTCAGAATTCTTGCTGATAAATGACTCAGTCTGTTTATCTCTGAATCTTCCCTTTTCCCCTCCCGGCTGTGAAGCAGTGTCAGGCAGCAAGACATCAGAACCAGGCTCTGTCCCATTTTCTGGAACTAACTAGCTGTGCTGCTTTGGGTTGGTCACTATACCTCTCTGAGCCTCAGTTTCATCATTTATAAAATGGGAGATGGAGAGCATTAAGGTCCTCTCAGTCCTGGCGGTCTGGGACTCTGTTCTATAGAGGACAAGCGAGGCTCTCTCTGCCTTCTCTCCTGACCTCCCTGGAAGGCCAGGAATGCTCTCCTGGGATCCAGCACTCTGTCTGGCTGTACAGGACACTGCATGCTTCTCCAAAACAAGTCGTGAAGGGGGGAATCATTTATCTCTTCCTCCTATCCCTCCTCCCCTCCTTTTTAATTCCCAACCTCCAGAGACTATCTCTGGCTTGGTTAATTAAGATGAGGCTTCGGGAAGATTTGAATCCTCCTGTTGTGATCTGTTACTCCACGCTGTGTGCTCATTTCCATCTGCTATTCTAATGCCTGCGCCTTCAGATGTTTGTTGCTTTTAGAACTTGATTGAATTTTAAAAGCCCAAATCCTTCATTGTTTGCAAAGTTAAATGCCTGTGCCTTGTTGACCTGCTTTCAATGAGGAGGAACTGATTTTGCTCGTTTGCAATGAAATACACTGTTTTTCCACTGGTCACCCAAGAATTGGTGTGTGTGTGTGTGTGTGTGTGTGTGTGTGTGTATGTGTGTGTGTGTATTTAACTGCAGATATCTTACTAGGGTAAAACTTTAAATCCAAACACCTCCCTTTCACCATGGGCAATCAATCCCACATGGTACAAGACAACACACGTGAGCCAGACAGCAGGACAATTTGATTTAGGCAGGTGGACCAACATTTTGCCAAAAGTCCGAAAGTGAGGGCTTTCACTTTTGAGCAAGGAAAGTGAATATATGTGTAACATCAAGCATTGGTAAGTAATACTGCCTCTCCTCTAAAATCAAACTTTTCGTCCTACCCAGGACAGGACCAGGCACACAAAAACATTTCGCAGAATGAATGGATGAAGACGTGAATGAGTGGATGAGCAAACGAGTGAGTGAATGATGGCCAGCCCAATGCCTGTGTAAATATGTTCTAGCTGGCTCATTGTTCCTTGGGGGGGTAACCAAGAGTGTCTAGCATTAAGCTTCTTGAACAGATGCTGAAAACCTCTGAACCTCAGTTTCCTCACCTATAAATCAAAGTTGATCATAAGCGTCCCTGCCACATCAGGATGCTGTAAAGGTCACAGGAGATGATGTTAAACTATCGACGTGATACACACTCAATGCTCAGCACAGTGCCTGGCACAGAGTAGTTTTCAATAAATATTTGCTAAATAAGTACATAAATATATAGAGAAATGAATGAATGAATAAACAGGTGAGATTCCTCTCCCTGGGCCTCAGATGCATTTGGTCTCAAAACCTAACACTCCGGAGATAAGATAAATGCTGATATTCTCAGCAACTTCTCCAGCTTAACACACAGACCACACCTGGAATCTTCTCAGGCGTGCCTCTGCCTCACAAGCTGAGCCCTGTCCTGACACCACAGCGTTTCACTAGCAAACCAGGCCCCGAGAGGTGTGGGGCTCCCCGACCAGCCCATGCAGAAGAATACTTGTAGGAAAAAGGGGCAGAGCTGGAGTGAAGATTCCAGGGCACCGTCACATGCCCCATCCATTTACATGTCAATCTCAGAAGTGTTCGGGCTTCACTTTCGTCCGCTTCGGTCTCCCAGGTTTCTAAACTACTACGGTCATGTTTGGTCTACCCGCTCACTCAGCATTTTCTCACAGACTGAAATATATTTGTTGGTTGGATAACATATCTTCCTGATCACATAATAAATTTTCCAAGAACAGAGCTGTATATCCTAGATCAGTGATGGCGAACCTTTTGAGCTCGGCGTGTCAGCATTTTGAAAAACCCTAACTTAACTCTGGTGCTGTGTCATATATAGAAATTGTTTGATATTTGCAACCATAGTAAAACAAAGACTTATATTTTTGATATTTATTTTATATATTTAAATGCCATTTAACAAAGAAAAATCAACCAAAAAATGAGTTCGCGTGTCACCTCTGACACACGTGTCATAGGTTTGCCATCACTGTCCTAGATAATGCTCAGCACAGCATTGGTCTGCTAATAGTTTCAGAAAACTAGATGAGATCTTAGGGAGCAAGGGGTCCAATCCCCATTTTACAGGCAAAGGGACAGGGTCTCCAAGAGGGGAGATGGCATGCTCACTGCAGGGAGGGAGCTGGAGAGCAATGATAGGGGTGCCTAAAGGCCACACTCACATCTCCTTCTCCTGGTGGAGTTTGCAGGCCTCTTGCTGGAGGCTTTCCAGCTGCTGCTGGGCATCCTGCAACTCCCGGGAGGTGCGCTCCAGCTCCCGGGCCAGCTCCTGGTTGGTGAGTTTCAGCTTGGTATTCTCCGCTTTGGTTTCATGCTTGTCGTTATGAAGGGCTGTGCACTGGCCCTCCAGCTGGAAAGGAATGGGGGACAGAGAGGAATGGCAGGCAAGCACCATCATCAGGCTGGCCTGCCCCAGCCTCATCTAGCAGGGACCATCACTGTACCCCTCACTGCCCTCAAACTTTGTCCTGTTCCTTCATTCACACGTATACCCTTCAGGAAGCAGGCGGAGCTTCCAGAACAATCTCAGCTTCCAGAACAATCTCAGCTCTCCCTTGTCTCCATAGGGCCCATAGGGCTACAAGAAAAGGAAATTCCACATCCATCTTCGACTCTTTTTTTTAAATCTTTTTTTTCTTTATTGGTTAAGGTATTACATATGTCTCCTCATCCCCCCATTAACCCCCAGCCCCACCCCGCCACTCATGCTATCATCCCCCTGTTGTCTGTGTCCATTGGTTGGGCTTATATGCATGCATACAAGTCCTTTGGTTGATATCTCCCCCTTACCCCCACCCTCCCCTACTTTCCCTCTGAGGTTTGACAGTCTGATCGCTGCTTCTCTGTCTCTGGATCTGTCCCTGTTCATCAGTCTATGTTGTTCATTATATTCCACAAATGAGTGAGATCACGTGGTATTTATCTTTCTCTGACTGGCTAATTTCACTTAGCACAATGCTCTCCAGTTCCATCCATGCTGTTGCAAATGGCAAGAATTCCTTCTTTTTTACCGCAGCGTAGTATCCCATTGTGTAGATGTACCACAGTTTTTTAACCCACTCATCTGCTGATGGGCACTTAGGCTGTTTCCAAATCTTAGCTATGGTGAACTGTGCTGCTATGAACATAGGGGTGCATATATCCTTTCTGATTGGTGCTTCTAGCTTCTTTGGATATTTGACTCTTATCTCAATGATAATTATCATCATCTCATCAATGGACTTAAGATCTAAAGTAAATCCTTTTTGTTGTCCTTTAAGCCAGTTTCTTCTCCTTGGCCATCAATGGAATGGAGAACACTAAGTAAAGGGCATCCTCATAAAACATCCCTCCCAATTTTGAATACTGAGATAAATTTATCTATTACCTTTTCTTCTCTCAGCTGTGTAAGTCCAATTCCTTTAATCTACAGAAGCTTTGAATGGTAGCCAGAAACACTGAAAATTCCTAAGAAATAGCTAAAACAGGTCAAACCAAACATGTTCCTAAAGCAACTAAAAACCTGCCTTTGAATGACTTCAGCTTTTCTTGGCTAGTGGTCATGCCTTGCAGAGCTTCCAACCCTCTCACTAGAGGAAGCACCAAACCAAAGCAAACTGATTATAAAAAATTTAGTTTAATGAATGTAGCCAGTAAGGGGAGGAGGAAGAAATGATGAGGGATGTTGTGTGATTCTCAGGAGGCTCCTGTGTAATCAGGTAAGCATGCAGTAAGTAAATCGAGTGGCAATCATTCATGGGAGGGACAACTCTAATTGGTAAGGACTTAATGCATAATAGTGAGGAGGAGGAAGAGGAGGAGAAGCAAGTCAAGGTAAGGCTGTGGAAGGGGGAAGGAAAGGCAGCTGCCAGTTCCTGGAGTTGAAACCATCTTGCTGCAGAGGAAAGAAACCCAAATCCATAGACAGGGTAGCAGCAGGAGTGGAGCAGTCTGCAGCCTTAGCACGGGGTGTCTTCAAACACATTCTAATGCATTGCTAAAAATAGCCCTGTCTATTTAAACTGCAGCAATGTGTCTGGGTCTGTCCAGGGCTGGATTCCTTCCAACATAAGACAAAACAGGAGGATACGTGACACTCTAGCCTCTCCCCTCCATGAGCCCTGGCTTTGGAGAAGAGGCAGTGAGCCTGAGGTTTGCCAAGGTAATCAATCTTTCTGGGGTCATTAGCCAGGCGTTCCCAGCCATAGTGGATGGACACAGTGCAGCACCCAGCCTGCCTGCTGGGAGCTCAGGTGCATCAGAGGAGCGTCTGTGTCTGCATCCATCTGCAGGATGATGGAACAGTCATAAAGGAGGTGATGAACCACGTCCAGGGGGAGATGGGGATGGAAAATCTGACCTTTGACAAGCCTCTTCCTGCTGGAGGCTCCATGGCCATCCTGGCGGGCAGACAGTACTGTCTGCAGCCGCCCCCAAAGTACCAGGGACTGTGTCCCTTGTACCTCAGCACTCCCCTCCTGTCTTATACAGCATGCAGGGAACAAAGTAACATTTTGTCATTCGGGTGGCTCCTGGGCACAATTATACGGCAATGTCTGCAGATACCTCAAGGGAGAATTCTTAGCAACTTCTCAAGTTAAACACCTGGCATTGGAGAAGCAAAGGCTTTATCTTGGGATCATCTCTGATTTCAAATGCTCTCTTGTACAACTAAATGGTTCTTTCAGATTGAAAAAGAGAGAAGTCCTTAACTGAATGGCAGGGAAAGTGGGCCAGAGCCAGAGAAGAGGATGCAGGAGGGCCGGGCGTCTGAGGACACAGCATACCCGCTTCTGCTTCTGGGCGAGCTGCTCCAGCTCCTGCTCCTTAGACAGCAGCTTCTGCTCCAGCTCCTGACTGCGGGCCTGAAAGCGCTCTGTGTCCTGCCAGAGAGAGGGACATGTGAGACCTAAATGCACCTGGGATGGAGACATTTTCCCACCTTGAACCTGCTCAACAGCAGGGCCTGCCCATCCTGGTGGACACTGGGGCCTCCCCATAGCATTCCAGGGCCTTGGTGCTCTGCCAGCTGCTTGGTGTGGCCCAGTGAGATACAGAGAGTGCAAGGGCTAGGTGTGGCTTGACTGGCAACGATGCACCCCTTCCCCCCATAAAGGCAGTGTCAGTAAGTGGGGGAGTACTGAGCAGGGAGAAGAGAACAGGTCTGACCTCAAATCTCAGGCCGTCTCCTCATCTGTAAGTTGGGGGGTGGATTATCCTTCCATGTGGATATTCTGTTCCACATTGGGCCTGTCATTTGAACCCTTAAATGACCCTCACTCTGGAAACACAGGGCATCATTTCTTTTGGGTCTAGGTCCTCACTGTTTTCTGACCATGACGGAGATTTTCCCTTCCTCCTGATGTACCTTCCCTCCCGCCCTAGAACTGAGCTTCCTCACTCAGGGATGCAGAGGCCCTGATGATGCAAGAGCAAAAGAGGCCTGGTTGCGGGATAAAGAGGAAAGTATGTAGGTTGTCAGGATGCCTGACACTCTCGACAGAGCCTGGAATGGTGTAAAGGCCCTGAGCTGGACGTCCGGAGGCTTGGGTTCCAGGCCTGGCCTTGCCCAGCTAACTTGCTCATTCTTCTAGATCATGGAGTCTTTGTTCATAGAATAGAAACAAAAATACCCATGCCACTTGTAGCTTTCCACTCGCCCGAAGGCAGAACAGAGGTGCAAACCATGCAGGAAGAGAAGAAACCACCATCACCTCCATATAACTCACTGTAGGAGCCCCGGTTGCCCGTCCCATGGAACAACGCCTTCCCGAGGAGGACAGCCGTGGAGGCTGCACTGGAGGGCGGCCTGTCCTGCTGGCAGGTTGCATGTGATGGTGCAACAGTCGGGAAACACGACGCTCTGGGGCAGAGGCCTTTGGACACCTCCGTTCAGGGCTCAGGTATTTC